CTAGTATTAGTCCTTATCCTGAGCCAGATGAATCTAATTCATTCCCTCCCAACCTATTTCTCTAAGACATATTTTAGTATTAATCTTCCATCTACGCCTGTGTCATCCAAGTGGCCTCTTTTCTTCCTACGGACTTTATGCCGTACACAGTTAAGCATGTTTATTCGAGGATAATGGGCCTTAAAGGAATGATTTGAGGAGGCGGACTGACTTAACCTGGCTCAGGATAAAGTCTAGTGGCGGACTATTGTCAACACGGTACTAAATATACGGTTTCCTTGAAATACGGAAAATGTGTTCACCAGCTAATAGACTGTCAGCATTACAATGACTTTGCACCATGAATTTATTTATTTATAATTTACTTGATTACGCTGTCTATAGTTTCGATTGACAGGACGATTAAAGAATAATTAAATTCCGTAGCCGAGGTTGGAATATGCTAATCATCGAACATGAAGAAGGTCTGATAACTACACGACAATGAACTTATTTCCAAATACCATCTGTACAATGGGGTAACTTAAACAGGAACATTATCCATTTCCATTTCGCTTAAATTCTTTACAGTTATTTGCAAAGACGCGTCATTATTTGTAACTGATATTTTGCTCTGTTATTTGTGCTGTAATTTGCTGTCCCTGCATCTCAATGGAAAATCGCTTTTGAGCTGGTCACATTCTTCAGTCTTCATTCGGGGGTCCCGGGTTGAAACCTCGGCTCAGTAACCAGTTCTCTTGACTGATATTTTCGGGGCTTTCCATGTCTCTCCAGGGAAATGCATGGGAATTGCCTGAAATTAGATCACGACAATTTCCTTTCCAGTTCATTCGTTATTCCGCGTATCTTTCGGTTTTACGTAGACTGAGCTGCTGACAGCCTCCCTAAATAAGCCATAGAAATAAACTCTTGCGTGACCATGTGAAAGAACGTCATCAGTGAACTCTACTGACGTGTCGAGACAGCTTGTTTCAGAGCTAGGATGTCTGGACTGAGGGACGCGACTGCCACAGAATGTGGCCGTGTTATTGCAGCTCCTCTTCAGACACAAAGGGACGTGACAGCTGTGGTGCAGTACAACGATATTTGTAAACATCTGTGCCTCAAGAATAATGCTGAGACCTTGAAGTCAAAATGGCGGGCAGCAAAGAACATCGCGTGTAATTAAATTCGTATGTCCGTACCTCAGGGCCATATTCTCGCGTAATATAATAAGTGATTCGTCCAAAGGCGACAGAACTGGCTGGCCAAGACGAACTGAGTACGGTCACGTTAATGATATATATACTTTTGTATGTTAAAGGAACTATCGATTATTCTCTGAAGGAGATATTGGCAATTGTATACAAATTAAGTTTCCAGTGTAACTAAATGATATTGCCACGTATGACGGGTTGTCGCGAAGAATAATAACGGTTCTGGATTGGATGATTGGATTTACTGCCACTTCTTTACAATTATAACCAATTACGAAATCTCACAATCAATGACTGCTTACGACCCGCTCCATTCCTTACTGGACCACGAGCGTCTTCTCTTTTGCTGTGACGAATGACGAACGACGAATCACTGCTCACACATTGAACTCCCGTAAGAATGACGTCTGTCTGACGAATCCTCCTACGAGTGAATTAAGACTCTTTGTATAACTTCCAGGCGACCCAAATACAGGCCCACCGTCTCAAACGGTTCCTCTATTATTCTGTGTTATCCGTTGCCATAAGAATCTGAGTCTTTGATAATATTCTTTGCCACAGAATGTCAATCCGTGACAACGCCTTGACCGTCATCAGGCTCTCCGTTGCAGCAGAAATATGTGCTTATCGAAGCGTTGTCTAATGAGGACTGTTCTAGCTTTCAGGCGTCATGTCACAATATAATAAATAATGAGGAGCTTCATAACTTGTACTCTTCTCCAAGTATAATTAGAATGATCAAGTCAAAGAGGATGAGGTGGGCAGGTCATGTAGCACAAATGGGGGAGACGAGGAATGCGTATAGGATATTGGTGGGAAAGACAGAAGGAAAGAGACCACAGGGACGACCAAGGCGTAGGTGGGTAGACAATATTATAATGTATCTTAGAGAGATAGGATGGGATGGTATGGATTGGATAGATCTGGCTCAGGATAGGGACCAGTGGAGGGCTCTTGTGAACACGGTAATGAACTTTTGGGTTCCATAAAATTCTGGGAAATTCTTGAGTAGCTGCATAATTGGTGGCTCCTCCAGAAGGGCTCAGCTCCATGAGTAAGTAAGTAAGTAAGTAAGTAAGTAAGTAAGTATGTACAATTATTTTATTAAACTGATCCATCAAATTTTTGTCACTCGTCAGTGACTAGACGCAGGGTTGGCATTGATAACTGATTTATGTGTACTAATTACACTCATTTATAAATAATTATACGGTTAACAACTATTTATAATCGCTTGCAGATTGTTATATCACTCTTGGCTTGTTCCTTAATGATTCTGTCTTCACAGACCCATTACTAGGTTTCGGGCTATAATAACAAGGCTCCATACTGTGTCCCCCTCGACTGCTCTACCTTCGAAGCAGAGCAGTAAATTTGACCCCCCCCCCCCCCTTGGCACTACAGCCCCAGTGGGCCTAGGCCTACCTCCATGAACTTCTCTGTTCACTTCGGATTTTCTTGATCTTACACATTCGGTAGGACTCTTTGGGCGGGTGATCAACTCGTCGCAAGGCCTCTACCTGTACACAAACATAGAAAAACGCACACACACAAACTAAACATCCATGCCCTGAGTGGGATTCGAACCCACGATCTTGGTTTCCAATCGAGCGAAGACAGTACATGCCTTAGACCGCTCGGCTACCGTGACCGGCGCTGTTGACCTTTGCCACGTTAATATTGCATTATTTGCTGGTAGGTGCTTGTTCTTGTATTTGGAAGGTTCTGCTCACTTTTCCTGTAGCTGTTTGGCATTTATGGTCTTGCTACTGGCCGTGTGGAATCGGCATCATAAAAGGATCAATTGTAATTATTACTTTAATTCTAATTTTAATTTCAAACCAATGTTTCTTCTAATGAAAAGAGATTTGACAGTGGAGATGTCAGTGTGTCAACTTTTGCGATGAGACACACAACTCGTGTAACCTGGAGATGATTACATGACAGTCGGGTCTTGTCTTTCATTAACTAATCTGACGTCCAGTGTACGGTGAGACTGACTTTGTGATTAATAAATAATTGAAAGTGAACAACAACACTGATGTGTGGCTTGTATGTGGCAGTTAAATGTAACATATTCAACAAACGGAAACAGGGACGTCAATACCGAATTCAGTTATAAAGATATAGCGCATCTTGTTATGTACTTAAAAATTCGTCAGAAATTACAGAGAAATTCTAAGGGCCGAAACCTCTCCTCAGGCATGGGATGTCCTTCCACCTTCGTGTTATAAGAACTGTAGATCGGGTCCAAATGTTTCGTAGAGAGAGGCCCAGCTTTTATTATATTGGAGTATTTTTGTGCCCAATTAGTCGCATTTATGTAGAGTCCCTAATGATGATGACAATCGTCCTATACCGTTACATGTGGTTAGAAAACCCAATTTTGTAGCGTATCTTCTACTTATTCGTTCAGTAGAATGTCGTGGATAATATTTCAAGATAAACAATTATTACTGAACCAAAACTTGGACAAGAGAACACTGTGATAGTACTGTAAGCATCCAGTAACACAGTGCCAGGAATTTGTCTCAGGTAGTTAGGTAGACAGATAGATAGATAGATAGACAAATAGATGGATAGATAGACTGACAGATAGAAAGACAGACAAATAGATAGGTATACACGTATATAGATAGAAAGATAGATGGACGGATGGGCGGACGGACGGATTGGATTCTTGGAAATAGGGATAGTCACAATGATTCTTATTTTATTGCTTCTAGCTAGCCTCCACCCTGTTTATGATACTAGAGAAAGCATCAGGGAGATAGACAGGAGCCCAGTCACTGCGTTTCTTCATAAGGATATGAAAAGTAATTCTGTTACTTTATTTTCATATTTTTAAGTAAAGATATGTCTCTTTTATCGCCATGTTCTGCCGTCAGCCCGTCCTCCTGAACGTCCTTTTGCAAATTTTGACAGGATTTTAAACAACTGAAGTTCTTTACTAGTAGCGGAATTTTTCCCCCCTTGGCACTACAGCCCCAGTGGGCCTAGGCCTACCTCCATGAACTTCTCCATTCACTTCGGTTTTTCTAGATCTTACACATTCGGTAGGACTCCTTGGGCGGGTGATCAGCTCGTCGCAAGGCCTCTACCTGTACACAAACACAGAAACACCCACACAAACATCCATGCCCTGAGTGGGATTCGAACCCACGATCCCGGCTTCCGAGCGAGCGAAGACAGTGCATGCCTTAGACCGCTCGGCTGCCGTAACCGGCAGTAGCGGAATTAGCGAGACGCAATTCAGGAAATGTATAACGCCAAATTCGTTATCGTAAAAACCAAAATTTGATTTTTGTTTGGCGATGAAAACCAATGAATGATTGGAACTAGGTAAGTGATTTTTGGCAGATAGATAGAAAATAAATGTAAGCAGCTATAGTCCTGTACAAAAAGATTTTGTAAGTTAATTATATTTTTTTCGCACATTTATTATATGTAATCTGCAGACTCTGCAATAAATGTATATGTACAAAAATCAATTAAAACATCGGTCTGAAACTTAGGCTTTACACCTGACAAATTTAACATAACCAGTATCCTTGCTATAGGAAAATCTGTGCAGAAACATAGATCCATTACTAATTTATATAATTATTCACTTTAATTCTTACCGATGTCGCCCAACACAAAATTATGTTTAAAGTAAAGAAAGGTGTTATAATCCTTCCTAGACCTTCTTGTTAAATTCGACGTCGTTCTTATTGTATACATAAGGTTTATTGTGCCTTATTGACAATAAAGTTGCACAATAAATGCTTTTACAACATCCAAACTTTCACTTGTCATTTCCAGTTTACAGACCCGAGCTGTGGAGCCTCCGAAACCTGTACATGTTACACGCAAATTTTGTTTCATACGTGAACCACATCAATCGGCAGAGTCAGGGAACAAGTTTCAGTTCGCCTTTAAGTTCCAGCGCTCGACTAAACCCCACTGGAGTCGGATGAATAGACCTCATCTTGGAACCCGCTTCTTGTAGTGGCATTGATTACGAAATTGTCAGCCAGCGCTCCGAGGCAATTAATGAATTTCAAGATGAAGTATGAACCTGTTGCCATTCGTGTTTGTACAGGATTCGTAATTAGCACTAGGGCGCTACCAACTGTCACGCTGAAAACTGTAACTTCCGTGTCACACGCCCTTAAAAATCCGGCGTCTCTGCGGAAATGACGGCCGTTCAACACAGAATCTGAAAAGAGTAATGTCCGCTTTTAGCTAAATCTGCACTGATGAGAGCGTCAGCGGGTAAGAATAAGCAGCGACTGATTCAGAACTGTGACGAGTGTTCGCTGTAGGCTCCGGATATCACGTACTAGCGGTCATCACTCCGGATTCACATTTGAGAAGCCCAGGAGTTCAAACATCAATCAGAAGGTCAGCCATCTTGATTGCTAACGATTCTCACTTACGATTTTATTAATCCCATCCAGATAACTCTTGAAGAATGCAAGTATAACGGGTGAATCCTCCTGTATATGTTCTAGTTCATCTTGAGTTAGTGATAACGCTGTGCTTATAGTAAAGAAATATTTGATTCGAATCCCGATTTGGTTATCGGCCAACGTAACCAAATTATGTTTTTAATGGCGGTGCCTATCTATTGTGGAATCTTGTGGGCATGCAACCATATTGAATTACTAGCAATTAATGACACTGTAAAAAATTGTTACCTTCTTCTTCAAAGTGGACTATTAAAGGAGAAAATTCCTCAAAATACTGTAATTCTTTTGCCGCATTAGCATGGTGCAGTAATAAAATATTCTGCAGTAAAAGCGTGAAAGAGATTGTGATATACTCAACACTCGTCAGACAGTTTTCGAGAAATCTGACAAATTTATCACAATGTATTTTGAAGTATAGACCCGTTGCTCAGCAGTGACTCGGTAAACTGATGCTGTTTGCTAGATAACATTTACCTCATACACGCACGCGTCAATAGAAAGTGTGACAGTTGCTATGCAACGGCGCGGTAAACACACCTCTACTACAGCGGAGAGGATGTGTTTTCTATGTGGTCCTCGGCAAGGAGTTATCTTGAAGGCAAATGGCACTACAGTTGCAGTTGCGGGATATTCGCCGGAGAGTAGCAACTTGGGCACAAAAGCTGGAGAATCTTCGTCGTTAAGATTCGTTACCAGGGAAGGTCTAGTGAAACCGTTGCAGAGGAGTGAAATTGTTTAGAGCCGTTACCAAAAAACGACTAGTAAAACAGACTGAGAAAAAGCGAGGAGTTATTTTTAGTGTGGAAATCAGCAGTAATATTCTTTTAGTTGTTGTAGTTCCGGGTGGTGTGTACAAGATGAAGTGAACTCCAACCAAGCAAGAATGGACATCAAAATAAGAAGGATTCCTAGATATAGCAGAAATGAGGACATTGCGAAAAAGGACGACTGACTGCTAAGAAGCGATGGACGCCTGTCTAGAGAGTAAGGAGCCAACCTCAGGGGAGATAGAGTCCGTTGCGGTTCATGAGGAAGTCCATAAGGAAGAGGCCGCAGTGAAACCCAACCGAAGAAGCGGCATGATGGAATCTAGTCTTAGAGCGCAGAGCAATAGCGGGTCCCCGAAGAAGATGGCCGCCGTACGCAGGGGTGGCATAGCGTTAGGGACGCGTTCATACAGGACGGACGGTTGAAGAGAAATAACGGTAAAATCGGACCAAGGAAAATATTGCAAGAGGATCCTCGACATGACAGACGTTCGGGAAGTGATGAGAACTCGGGCGGAACCGGAAAGCAACACTGGAAAAAGGAACCGAGGCTCAAGACAGCATCTATGTCTGAGGAAGGAGAGGACAACCGGCAACGGCATCAGAGGAGGCAGGAGCTACGTTTGGGAGGACAGAAGATATTATATGAGATATTTGGACAAACTCTCGATTTAGAGGTCGTGAAGCGAGCAGTCGGGAATAAGAGCGTTAGGACACTGTGGAGGTATCGGCCTTCTCAGAAACGAAAGAAGAGCCTACTAGCAACTTTAGAGTAGCAGCCATAGAACACTGACCACTCTCGGAACCTTTGAACGCAGCAAGCAAAGAAGATGTTGGTGAGATACTTGAACGGACTGACCCCTTATCAGGGAGTCGTTAAGGATAAGCGGACTTAAGGAAGGAGCAGTGGGAGCGGTTGGAGAGTAAACACCGCGAAAAACCGAGCCACGGGGAGGAAGGTGAAATCAAGCACGGACGTCGAAAGCACAGTCGTCTGGAAAAAAAGAAATGGCCGCACTCCTGTAGGCTCTTCGAGACGAATAGCCTTAAGGAAGGGGTAATGTGGCCAATAGACCCCGTTGCTAAACTGTGACTTTGTAAACAGTGAACATTGCTGTGTAAATCCCGCAAGATACACGCACACAACAACAGAACAAGGGGGTTATGCAACCAGTTTCTAAGCAAAGGATAAGTACACGCGCAACATTATGGGTATTTTTGGAAACGGTATTTTATATTCCGTCCGTGAAAGAAGAGTTTAGTTGAGAATTGGCTGTCGATTCCCGGAGTCCCAAGTGAGCATTTGGTCAAGCGTTGGTCTCTGCAAGGGCAGATGAGAACATAGTTCAGTTGAGGCAGTTCAGTGGAGGAGTTCAGTTCAGTGAATTGACGTGAAATACGTGACTGAGAGAGTTGTCAGTTGTCAGTTGGAAGTCAGCCTGTAAAGAGAAGACTAGTAGGTTGGTGTGAAATGGCCGCCAGCCTAGAATCCAGTCAGCTGAGGGTTTTCTGTTGAGAAGAGCTCTGTACGTGAGGCTGTGAAGAAAAGAGTTATTTGCAAGAGTGCTGAGTGAAAAGAAAACTCTATGTGAGATATTTGGATTGTGTAATTCAGTTAGACTATTATATTTCCTATGTTAAATTCTTTATTATATTTCCTATGTTAAATTCTTTGCCAGGAAACGGCTAGTGGAGACTGTTATAGACCGAGGACACTAGTCTGGGTATATCAGTGATCTGTAAAAGTGTAGTTCGACTGGTATATACACTGCTGTCCGAAAGGTATCCGACTTTATTTTTGGTCAATAAGTCCAGTGTCGAGTCCATACCCCGTCTACAGTCACACTGCTAAATAGTGACAATATATTTAGCCACTCATATATTACTACCATATTTACATCTCATTAAATTCTTATAGATCTGGAGATAAAATATTTCTATTGAATAGCTCAACATTTTTTCATTTTCAAAAATTCCGAAAATGTCTCCAAGACGCATCGTTTGTTTCTAATTGTGCGCAATGGTAGTGCATCTCCTGGTTTTATAAAATAATTTGATAATCGTACCCCCTATTTGTAGAAAATATATTCTTATGGCGAGTTCACAATGTGCGAACTGAAAACTTTGTAGGCGATAATAAAACTTGGAGAGTTTGTGAGGCAGAATTGGTTAAACTGGCAAGAACAAGTCACTGAAATGTACCCCGTGTGTGTGAAGCACGACTGGATCAGTTCTCTGCTTCTGTTGGATCCGAAAGATTGTCACGCCTACAAAAGCCTGTAATTGTATTGTATCCTCAACAATCAGAATCCAGCACACATCCCCACAGATTACTTCCTGATGATCCATTGTGTTTATTCCCCAACCTACAGTGAGACTGCCAGCTGGCCGGAAGTTCTTCGGCCTCTCGGGCGGCACAGATACGCGTTCCTCGCGTCCACTCAGATCATACAGTTTCGGACCCGTAACAGCATCGAAAGAAAAAAAAAAGGCGCTATACACATTATATTTTCACGTCAACAACGCTCCACTAATCGTTGAAGAGCAGCCATGAAGAGGTTTTGCCACAGTTTATATATGAATGTTCAGGATTTTAATTTTAGACAGACAGGAGGAAGGCAAAATGATCACGAAGAGAATGGCAGCAAGCGTTCAGCGAAATTTTTCTGTTCGAAGTCGGCGCAATTATATGTGTGTACGTATGTATGTGTGTGTGTACGTATGTATGCATGTGTGTACGTATGTATGTGTGTGTGTACGTATGTATGTATGTGTGTACGTATATATGTATGTGTGTACGTTTGTATGTGTGTACGTATGTATGTATGTGTGTATGTATGTATGTATGTATGTGTATACGTATGTATGCATGTGTGTACGTATGTATGTATGTGTGTACGTACGTATGTATGTGTATACGTATGTATGCATGTGTGTACGTATGTATGCATGTGTGTACATATGTATGCATGTGTGTACGTATGTATGTATGTGTGTACGTATGTATGTATGTGTATACGTATGTATGCATGTGTGTACATATGTATGCATGTGTGTACGTATGTTGTATGTGTGTACGTATGTTGTATGTGTGTACGTATGTATGTATGTACGTATGTATGCATGTGTATACGTATGTATGCATGTGTGTACGTATGTATGCATGTGTGTATGTATGTTGTATGTGTGTACGTATGTATGTATGTGTGTACGTATGTATGCATGTGTGTACGTATATATGTATGTGTGTATGTATGTATGTGTGTATGTATGTATGTGTGCATGAATGTACGTATTGTCACGTGTATGTGTGTGACTATGGACGGGGTTTGGATTCATGAATTGGATTTATTGATCACTTTTAAACACCACTCAGAGCTACAAGTAATTACAGTGTTATCACTGAACTCCATATTTTACACATCATTACACGCTAAGTCTTTTCCCAGCCTGCTGTGTCCCCAATAGCCGTTCCCTAACAACGACTTATAACAGTGGAGATTCTTCAGCTTCCGGCGTTCACATCGATACTATCCGGCGAATATCCCTCAACTGAGCTCTCTCACTCACCAACCAGCTACTTCATGTATCTTCAAACAACGGAACCGCTAACAGGTGACTGCAGCTCGGCTGGTGTCCTCATTGTATAAACTCTGGACGGACTCAACAGAAAACCGCCTCAAACAATCCTTCTATTTAAGTTTTGAGGTTTTCACGGCGATGACTATGAAGAATGTCGTCTTCTGGAATCTGGCG